CTTCTACTACAACACATCATTTGCCTACTTTATGGATGCTGGTAACACAGACACCTCTAGTAAAAGCAGATTTTTTATACAATACAGAGGATATAGAACAATGAATTTCAACAGCCCTGAGCATACTTATATATCATTTGAAACAGAATTGGTGACATACATTTTTTGAAAATCATTTTTTGAACCTAGTGCTCTTTTACTTTTGAATAGCCATGTTTTACACAAGATGTTCCGACAACATCTCTGTTTTTGCTGCAGTTAACCAAGCATGTATCACTGTCTGTACCACAACCCACTCCTTAAATGCCACCATTAGACTAAAAACAAAGTAATAACTAATCAAGAAATTTATGAGGAAGAAAACAATGCCCTATCAAGCTCTATAACTAACCTAACAAAACTGAATTAAGTCATTAAGAACATTTTGCTACAGAATTCATTAGGTCCACAAGATAAGTCTTAGAAGATACTAAGAAGACAGACATTTAGGCTGAAATTCAAAGATAAGCTCCACCTTCAAGTTCCAACACAGATACACAAAGTTTCCTTATATACTTTAATCGCCACGGATTTTTACTGACAAGAGTATTTTTCTGCAAGCATGGGATTGACTGTTAGATGTTAATCCTGAAAAATCATACGGAAAGAAAATATGGGCAATGATTACAAAAAACAACATAATGTCAAAAAAGACCACAACATTTCATTTCCTATGAAATATACACATTCTTACTACACTAAAAGCAAATTTACAGCATTTAACAATAATGAAGCAACAAAGATGCACAAATACGTCTGGAAGATAAGGCATTTGAACAGTATGAACTGCCCCTATTTGATTTATGATCGTTTATCTTGAGAGTAGTTAATTCAGTGCATATGCTTTAAACAAAATATAACAGGCAGACTTAAGCTTAGTCTGTTTTATTTGCATGTATATCATCAACTGTAGAAAAAAGAAAAAGCGTGCTGACAAATGGGAGAATTCAAACGGTGGCTTGCTTATTAAGCCTTCCTATTGAGAATGCTATGTTAGTAAACTGAGATAGTATACCTGAGTGGAGTTAGATAGTTGGTTTTTCCACGGCTCCTCTGCGCTGCTGGTCAGGTTTGTGCGGTTATGAGGTAGAGAGAGTGCGTTTTGCTGCAGGTAAGGCACGTTTCCATTACTTCCACTTTCTGTTATGTGATTATTGCCTATCAAAATAGTGTCTGTACTACTCAGCGTTCTTGCTGTGCTGCAGGGAATGGGGCCTGCTGGAAAGGGTCCATTAGCCATAGGCTGCCCAGGGCAGGCCGGACGGATTCCACGCTGAGCGACATTAGGCACTCTGGTTAGAGCAACCTGTGGCTGCTGACCAGAGACAGAGTTTGTAGGCAGTGATGAATCAGCTGTTGGCCCATTAGGAATTCCAGTAGATCGTACCTGTGCAACTCCTGTTTGTCTCATCTAATGGAGGATGAACAAAGCACAACGATGTTAGCTATAGAACTTAAGGCTACAGAATTTAAGAAGTAAAGATCATATTAGGCTTGTGTATTTTATATTGCACTTTTCAATTTCAACTGTATACTGATTTTGACACCTTGCCACTTGCATTTGAGAAGTAAGATGACTGTCATGCTCACAAACGCGCTGAGTGAATTTTAAGGTAAAGCTATTGGCACACCTTTCTTCTAGGCTCTTCAGTTTGACTGTTAGCATTATACTGCTAAAGTTGGACACTAAGAGAGAGAGAAGTGAATAATGAAAGCATGAGAGAAAAAGCTGTGATATGGCTTACTGCAAGTAAGTGTTTTTCAACTCATACTGCTTTTACATGCATTCACTCACTTCAGTTTGAAAATGTAGCTTGAAATGTTTTATGCTATCTGGTACCCCTATAATAAAACACAGCTAAAACCATTAACTTTCACAAGTAAATCACACTTAAACTTTGTATGAAAAAGATGACAACGTAATATCACAAAAGGCATGAGACCTCTGTACAAAACCTTAAAAATTCAAGAAACACAACAGATGCCATCATCAATAAAAGTTTTGTAGAACAGAAAAATATTTTTGTTCTCACTTGCTGGTGTTGCTGCATCAAGACAAACTGACTCTCCAGCTGCTCCAGCATAAGTTTCTGTGCTGGATTTAAATTATTTCGGTTTGCACGTAGCTGTTCCAAGTGCTGAAAAAAATCAACCAGTATAGGTTAGAATCATCACAAATGTATACAATTTTTAACGACCTTCTTGCATACATTACTAAAAATTATCCAGGAAGATGAGACTTGCACAGCTAAAACAAAACTTGCAAAGCTAAAGACAAGATCAAGATTTCTGCTGCAGACTAAAACATCTTTCCATAAACTAAAGTCTGTAACCAAACTTTATAAGCTGTTATTAAAAGTAAAGAGATCTTCAGAACTATTAGAGTATATCTCATCACCGCTTCGTTAAAATTAAGAGAACTGGTACTGTTAAGAAAACTACATTAACATAAAACTACATTAATTCAGAATTCCTATTATCATTATGTATGTTTTAACATTTTCGTACTATTCTATTATTTTATAGTTAAAATAATGCTCAGTATGAAGTAAATTCAGTCTTACAGCCACACTTGAAAACTTCTCAAGAAAACACACAACATTCAGAACACTATGCAACTTAACTACGGAAAGAAGTATCTGAAGACACGACCCTGAAGTAATTTACAACTAAAATTTAAGTATTTGTTACCCAAAACCTGATCTTTGCATCCCTTTTAAACTACTCTCCACACACCTTCAGTCTATCAGCAAGTAACATCTTTCATATAAAGAAACAGCCACAGAGCTATTTTGCAAGTTACAGGGAATATTGCTCAAGGAGCCTTCTGTTTCTGCACTATATTCTCTTCTATGTTTCCTTGTATCGAAAATAGTATCTATGATACACGGGCGAGGGTTTCTAGCTAAGCCTGATTTTCAAAATGTGGAATTCCTGCTGAATCTCACTGCAAGTTCTAATGAACTGAAGACATGACAAAAGCATCATCACAAAAAAGACCTGAAACAAGATTTCAAAAACAAAATCTAGTATTTCATATAAAAAATGTTAAATGATGTGTAATACAGAAAAGTGGTACCAACTTTCATTTGATTAATCCCATTTTGTACAATGTGTGAGTTTATGTAATTTGATACAATAAGATAGCTCATAAGAAAAAGAGGATGCCACAATATTTTCACTTCTTCAATATTCTCCATGCTAAAACAAGCAGCAAAATACACTTGCCTTGCAAGTGTTACAATTTGCATATCTATCTTTAAAACAACATAAGTGGCATTACTGTATGCTCCTACTTAAATTATACAATTCAAACAAGATAAGCATTCAATTTCTACTAATGATCGAATCTATTTTATTATACAGCTAATCTTATATATTCCACACAGCATTCATCAATATTAAAAGAATTTGTATTGTTTCCCATTTAGTTTCAGAAATGTGAGTCAAAAGTATTTTTTTTCTTAGAAGAAAGAAACTAACAAAAAATAAATCAAAGCTTCAAGACCTTCAACGTACTTACCTGTAATTTCTGTGGTGTCAAGCACCAAGAATGAATTTGTTGTTGTACAGGAGGGTGTGACACTGTATGGCCACTGCTCCAAACATCTGAAGTATTCTGAGAGAAAACATTATGTTAAAATTCTTGACTATCAAACGGTCAATATCATTTTTTCACATTTGGATTTTATCTTATGAAAGAACTAGTCTTTTTACACAGAGAATATACTAATGCATGCCAAGACTTGTTCTACCATTCCCATATAACATCATAGTAGTTAGATGTAAAATAAGTGATATCTAATACCATAGTGAGAAACAATCAAATAAAATTATGCAATTAACTTAAAGGTACACTGCTGTTAGAACCGGGTAATTTTATCTACCATAACATCACTACATGATGATGAAACACTTGAATTCTAAATATAAGCAAAGGCTGTAGACAGGATGATATGGTTGTCTCCCTCTCTTACCCACCACCAGACTATGACTGTACTTTTCCACATACACAACTGTAACTATAGTACAGTACACTGCTGATCTGTATTGCCCTTACACACTTACTACCACAACTGTAACCTCCTTACTAAACACATCACTGAAAAATTTTCTTTAAAATATCTAAAAACATTCCCCACCTTGATGCCAAAGGATTGAAATTCACGGCACAAATTGTGTGCATGCTGCATCACTTCAATGCATATTTCCATATAATTTTGGGAGGGGGCTCTTTAGTTCATCAGAATATATACCTTTGTTGGACTAGATGTTCTTTTCCTCTTGGCAGGACTGGTCAGGTCATCTACTTGGCTAGAAGGAATCATGTGTAGTGGCAAGGATTGCTGTGAAATTGGTGTTTGAGTGAGGCCTAGTACAGGTTCAGTATTTGGATGATGAGGTTTACAAGCCTAAGAATCACAGAAGACAAAAATATGGTTCTATATATTCTTAATTCTTTCCTTTAAACTACATATTTTAACAGCCCACATATTTTAAAGGGGCTGAGCAGATATTTTGAAGATGGTCTCAAAAACTGAAAAATCAGTTTCCATATGGTCATCAATGGAGGAATGTGTACCTTTCAAGGGATTATTAAACCACTGCAGCATTCTATTTAAGATGAAATTTTTAAAATCATGAAAATCCACAAAGGTTCTAAATTGGTACCCCCATCTTTCTCCCATATTGTAGGGAGCTGCTTCTTGATCTAGTATACCTTTGCAAATAAATCAAAGGCTTTTTATTAATAAAAGCCAGTCCTGCACTCAACAAAATAAGCTTGACCACTACAGATTGTAAAGAACCCTTAAAGCTGGGCACCTGCAGAACATAACCCAACTTCTCACCTGCTGTGCTGTGTTCATGGCACCCTGCCTGGAGGTAAGCTCTGCGGGGATTGGTAGGCTCCATGCCTCCTCAATACTAGGAAGTAATTTAGTTTTATTCTGTAGACTACCTTGTGGAAGGTTACACAACTGAGCCTAGGAAAAATTATGTAAAAAGCAAATTTAACACAAGCCTACTTTAGTAAGAGCAAGTCCATGAAATCTTCCTATATGCTGTAGCTAATTATGTTTTAAAGAAGAGGATAGATTTAAAATTTGGGGTTTTAGAAAGGTGCTAAGTATAAAGAGGGTAACCAGAATATAAACCTTTGTGAGAATCAGAACAAAGATGAGCTCTAGATTCACAGGTCTCATTAATTCTTTTTTTTTTTCTGAAATTGCAAACAAGAGTGAAAGATAGCACGTGTGTGTTCTCTCTCTATGTTATGAGAACTTAAAAATGTAGACAATACAAAGAAAAAAAGTGATGTAAAACAGTATGCACTGATTAAATACGTAAAATAGGGTCTATATGTAATTAAATTCCACTTAAAAATGAAGAAATAAAATATTACAGGCTATGATATGCTTACAATACATATGAAAACAAGTTATACACACCACAAATGATTGTAAGTTAAATCTGTGTGTTACTTCTACCCTCCCCTCTGGTATGTATATGGATGAATATTTCCCACATCTTAAAACTTTAGCTTTACCTGTAAATACTTTATCCGTGCTGCAAGTGCAGAGGTATTACTACAATTTTTGCTCCTAGTTGCATTTAAGTAGCATTTAATGGCATCCTGAGGCTGGTTGCAGGACTCATAGAGTGTGCCTAGGTCCATCCAGGCTGCAGCATGGCCATGGTCTAATTGTACAGCACAGATATAGGCCTGTAAAGCATCCATAGGCTGATTTTGCTGTTGATACAGCACACTGAATAGAAAGATTTGTGAAGTTGAGAATTAATAACAAAGTCAAAGTACAATGAAGTCAAATACAAACATTCACCCCAAAGCCCTTAATAAACTTTGTCATTACATAAATCACAGTAATAAGCAAAAAAAACCAACCCCATATTTATAAAATCTTGACATGCAAAGTTTGTATATACAGCATATTCAGTATTTTAAAAATGGAAAAAGCATGTAAAATTATAATTTAAACTTCAAATTAGACAAATGTAACAACATAAAGGTAGAAATAAAAAAATTACAAAACATTTGAGAGCACAAAAGTTTTAAAAAGCTAATATTCTTCAATCATATATATGCATGAGCATTGAATTATATCACTGTATTACCCTGTTTCATCCTTACCCTATAGAACACCATGTATCTGCACTTGCTTCTGATTTATCAATAGATTGCCTATAAGATATAAAGGCATCCTGAACTTTCCCAATACTTGAATAGCACCTGGGAGAAGAAAAAAAGACTTTTGGTAATATTTATAGAAGGTAATCAGTGATGATGGCTTACGAAGACTGGTCTGATAAATGTTAAGTCGTACAAACACATACTCATCTAGATGAATCCAAAACATTTGCTGCTTTTCAATGCTGGGCACAAATAGACTCAAACTTGTTAATCAACATGTATTACTAATTCTTCATTTGAGAAGCAGAGAAATGCTGTTTAAACCCTAACTTAATGTATTTGCAGTGAAAGCAGAAGTCATGCTATAGTTTGAAGATCTACCTTTGTTCCACTTAAGATAGACATCGGTCAGTAAGAACAATATTCAGCTCCAGTCAACATTCAAAAAAATCCATTAAGATACTTATTTCATGAAATCTAATACAATAAAATTTCATATTCTGCAATTAGTGCTTCAGGATTATTTGATTTATATTAAGAGATAATGACCAATTCAGTCAGGGCGGTCTTGGAAATTTTTTATATGCATAACTCATAACTCAAAGTTTTCAAATAATGAACAACAAACCAATTAGTTTAACCATGTACAGAAAGCAATAAAAATCTTCCTTGTCTGGAGTTTTTCCAAATTTTATTACTTGAATATTATATATATACTACAACTTCATTGGTTTCCTAGGCACTGTAAGCAGAACTATCAAACCTTGAAAGAGAACTACCATTATTCTGCAGGGAATAGCATCTACTTTTTAAAATAAAAACTTCAAATAAATAAAATATGAAAAAAAAAACACATGCAATTGATTTTAACTACAATAGCTTTGCCTTACATTTTTCCAATAAGTTTCCCTCTTGGAAAAAGAACTGACAAGTTTCAAAGCACATCAATAACAAAGTTTATTCTATTTTAAAAAAAAGTCCAGAACAGTACAGGTGAGGTTCATCAAATATGCTACACTCTTCTGTGTATTCTTAAGGCTTATTAGAAAATGCAGTATTATCTAGTGGTACTCATTCTAATAAATAAGTCACGTCTCCATACAATGTTTCAGGATATCATTTTATCCAGAATTTAGCCCACGTTCCAACAGACATATTTAAATCTGTCTGCTTAACAGATACACACAGATTCCAATTAGGATAACACTAACATCAAGCACCCAAGAAACTTTAAAACAGGGAAATGAGGTGGAGTTTTTAAACTTTAAACCATGTTATCTAATTTGGAGGACCAGCAGAGGAAAGAGTAACACAAGGAGATATACTGGGAGGGAAAAAGAGGAAGAGTGAATGCACAGCCCTGTAAACTTATAAATCTCCTGTTAATGTACTGATTGCAAGAAGTAGGTACAGAAATGTTTTGTTCTGCTCCTCCCCTGTATAATATAAGGGATACTTCCACTACACTTCCTATTCCTCTATTTCCTCCATTCCCCTACCTTGTTTGTATAGTCCTAGGTATCACTCCAACCAAACTAAAGCTTAGGTACAGGAAGAGCACATGTACTCCACTGAGCCTTGCCTTTGTCCTGCTGTTGTGTAAGAACACAACTGGCTCTATCTGTGTGGATTGGGATTAGAGAGGAAAAGAACAGGTTTTAGCCAAAGGGATGACAAAACAAGCCAGATGATCCCTGGCTCCTTTTGCCTTTTCTTCCCACTCCAGCTCTCTGTCCCCGCTGCTCGCACTTCTCCCTTAGCCTGCAGACTGCTAGTTTAAGACTCTTGCTCAAAAAAGAGCAGCAGGAATAAAATCAGGGTGACAGAAACAGTAGTATGTCTAGTTAGGTATGACAAGAACTTACAGGAAAGTAAGCTGGAAGATAGTGAGGTTACTATACTAATTTCATTTTTGCATAATTTCTATTTAATCTACTTCTCCACAGAACTGACCAGTTCATGTGCTTAAATTGACATCAAAGCTTTCAACCACATAGAAGATAAATTAGACTGCTATTCTCCAAAGCCTGATTATTTCCAAAGTTACTGATGGCTTGTTTAAAGCACCTATTTGTAAAAAAATGGAGACTAAGAAGAGTCTTTAAGTTGACATAATTTTACATCTTCGATAAAGCTAATTTTCACGGGAAAACTACTGTGCATGATTGAAGATCAGTATAATACTTAAGTAGAAATTAGAATGGATCCACTTGATTTATCTTGGCTTAATATCTAGTTGTAAACTATTCTGTCAGCAGATCGACGCGCTTGTACTTTAGTGCTGAAACTGTTTGAAACTAGAGGGAGATTTTAAGAAAATAAAGAGAAAATAATGAAACAAGTAAAAGCAGGTAAGGCAGATTAGCATTTCTGTAAAGCTGTAAACTGAACTACAGAACAAACAAACAAAAACAAAACAAAAAAAAACAAAAAGAGGACCACTTAGGTAACATATTTCATTTCAACTTGTAATCTATAACCATTCTAAATAACTTCACAGCTTTCCAGAAAATCAGGACTTTACTAGATACAAACACCTTTTCCTTCCATTTTTTCTCTAAAAGCTACAAAGAACATAAAAGATAACTCATAAAATACTCCTCAAAAAACAATTACAAACACAGTTACAAAGTCTATAAAGTCATTTCTCACCTTCCAAGGAAATACCAGGATTGACCAGAATTTGGATCCGCTTCTAGAGATTTCTGGAGATACTGTATAGCATAACTTTCCTTGGTTGCCTTGTCTCCAAGCTGATCCACGGTGTGATGCATCCAGCCTACAAGAAAAATCCACAGATGGCAGAAGTGAAATTCTCAAACATCACTTAATGCTCTGGTGCAGCAGAATATTGACAGCTTTGGTCCCTCTATAAAAATATGAATATCAAACAATACTAACAGTTACACAAATTGTTATGAAAGAAACTTAAAAAACTTCCTTTTGAAGTTCGTTACTAAAACTACAGGACCTACATTCAAAATTGCTTTCACATGCCTTAAAAACATTCTTGTTTACTACAAGGTTAGTAGCATAACTATGAACCACTCAATATTCAATAAAAAGTTAATCTGAAAATATTAACTCTTTCCTCCTCTGAATGTTGGCACCTCTCATGCCCTCATCTTCCCTGTAAAACACATCCATCATCTGTATATTAAGTTCATTTTACCTTTTCTTTCTAACTCTCGTGTCTGTATTTGCGCTGTTCCCCAGTAATGCATTATTAAGAATTGCCGTCATTCCATCTCAGTTTTTCATACTTCGTCATTATGTCTACCTTGCTACAACATCCCCTCTTTTTGATCGAAAAATGCAATCACTTCTCACCTACATATCAAATTCTTCTAAAAAGATCATTTTGTTTCCTCACATAATCACAGAATATATTTTCACGTGCCTCCTCTTTTCTCACTACATTAGGCAAATTATTAATCCTGACTTTAATGGCCTCTCAGTCCTTGCCTTCATATAGTCTTTTACAAGCTATCAAAGTGCACCTCTGTTTCAGCAATGACGTAAGGCTTGGTTACCATTTCAAATAAAGCACCTTCGTCATCTTCTCAGGCTTCTCCCCATGTGCCTCTATGCCTAGGTGATGGTATCTCTGGAAGTGCTCACAAAATCATCTCACTGCTGCCTGTGAGTAAAAGGAAATTCTTTTCTACAGGCAGCTAGCTTGATGAAATCTCTACATACTACACTGGTCCATTGGTCAATTATGTCTTGATGTTTGCTTAATTTCCATGTACTTGTCTTAACAACCTCTTGCCTTTCATCTAATATTCATAAATTGTAAAGTATGAGAGCAGACTGTCCCTATGTTTTTATAGTGTCCTGGTCAAAAATGATCCCTCGTGAAACACTGCATCAGTTTCATATAACATACAAGATTTGCATAAGGTTTTTGTTATATAGAGCTGCACAAACATCTGCTCTCAGTGTTCATGTAAAACCTACATCAACTATACTTCTGCACCCTAAGCTTATCCTTTAAGAATCAGTCTAACTACATAAACATATAATATCATTTAAAGAACAGTCTGCCCACTTCATCAGAAATGCCAGACCCCAGTAAACAAGGCTGAGAACAGAACTGATGAGTATTTGCAGCTTTACTTCATTGTGATTGGACTATATCTTAAGTAACTTACTCTACCTGATCTATTTGAGTTATATATACATACATTTAATCCCATGGACTCACAGCAGACACAGTGACACTTTTGCAAAGGAAGACAAACTTACAAGCTTAAAAAAAAAAGGCAATCTAGGAAAAAATCGAGTCTACTGAACAATGTTTGCCTGAAGTGTTTGAAGAAGTTTCCAAGTTTCCACTTGGAAACTGTGTTGAGAAGCATAAGTTTGAATAATTCACCGACTGCAAGAAATACTGTGTTAAGAGTCAAGTAGTTACAGTGCTGACAGAAGAGTACTTTATCTTGTCTGAAGATGGACCAAGTCAAAACCCTACCCGCCAGAAAAAAAAGAAAAAAAAACACAGTAACTTATGTTAACAACAAGCTATGATTTTGATTAAAATCCCAAGTCATTGAAGTCCTGAAGCACATAGGAAATACTTGTGCTTTAAGAAACAAGGCTTATGTGAGGGTGCTTATTTGAATGCAACCTACATAACTGTACAGGAAAGATAAAATATTGGGTGCAGTGGCAGGCAAAGCCTGAGTGAAATGAAAGTAGGAGTTCAGAGAGTATAAACATGGTAAAAAACAGATATTAAACAATTTCCTGAATCTTCAGAAGTGTTGTGTGGTGATGCCTATTTTATGCTTTATCAGAATCTTTCCAAACTGACAGATAACACGCTGTATCTTCAGATCTTCTCTGAGGTTCACTGATAAGAAGAATCTATTTCTAGGAGACAGAAAAGAGAACTAGAAATCCCTATCTACTTTCAGTGCTGAACCAAGGGTTGCTTTCTGACTTTATCTTAACATGTAGGAAGGTGAAAAAGGTAGAAGTCAAGAGAGAACAAAGTTTTCTTCTAGAACAGCACAAGTAAAGGAAACTGGTAAGCCATGTGGTCTCTGCTTTGCAAGAGCTAATTCTAATTGTCAACTAGCTCTCACAACATACTCTCCTACTTTGGGGACATTTTCAACATTATAATCAAAAATGCTAATTTTGTCCATGTTCCAGGCTCTTTTCCAGGTTTTTTTTTTGTTTTTTTTTTTTTTTTTAAATCTAATTCGTAACAAATCACCATGTTTCTTTAGCAAAAGCATGTTCAAGCCTGGCTCATGTTTTAGTCGGTTTTATGCTTATCAATCACTCTCATGTTGTACTTAAGGCAACTGCTGCTTCCTTGATAAACATCGTCCCAGTCTCTGAAGACTCTCAGTTTTTGAGCCTGCTCCCCATTTCAGAATCTCATGATGTCTCACCCAATTACAGACACATCACCTAGAAATGCCCCCAACAAAAGTCTTTGCGAGAGTGCTTTAGGAAGCCTGGGGCAGATGCTAACACTGTTCTACACTCCAGATTATGCAACTGCTCATTAAAATTGGAGAAAGAATACTGGGACAGATTAGATCTTCAGTCTCATCCGGCATAGCGGCCCTTATTTAATGCAATTTTAGGCAAAGTGGTGAAAAGAATTATTGTCTGGAAAGCAAATTAAATGCAGTAAAAAACATAAAACAAACTGTTCTTATTCAACTGCACAGATCTTCCTGTTAATCTATCAGAACTAATTAGTACACATCAGCTCAAACACATACGTATTTCTCAGAGAATTACAAGGTTTTCCTCCACAATGATCTGTTTTGGAAAATAGCAATGAGAGTGAAGGTTTTAGTAATTCTCTCACACAATATCTGAATTTGCCTAAATTTCAATTTATGCTCAGTAAACATTAATTAGTTAAGAAAAATGAACACAAGGTATTTTCATGCCAAAATAATTTTCCCGTTGGGAGTGGAAAAAAAAAAAAAAAGAATCTGATCTAGAAATATATTTTGATTGTTTTTTGCTAATAGCATTCTGGTAGATGGCAGGTATTTCCTACGTCGGTTGCTCTGGAAGTAATGCCTGATTTCCATGGAAACTACATCAAATACAAAGAGTACAATAACACTATTTGATAGGGCAAATTCTTAGCTACAAAACACTTCTTTTCAACAGTCACCACCTTTGGCTATGCATATTTGTCAGTTATGAACAAGAGCTGCATGCCACACTCATAAAAAGCTGCACCACTGGAAGTGACCCGCTGTCGCTGTCACCACTGCTGAAACACACCACCCACTGCCTCACTGCGCTCACATCCACTGTTGGCCACCATCAATTTTCAGCAAGTGTTAATGAATGTCAACAGAAGCAATTTTTTTTCAGCAGGAAGGAATTCAATTACACGCTGCTTCATACGCACTTCCATGTCAGACGCCACTGTGTCAGAGTGCCCCTCTGCTGCCATCTGTCACATGGCAATAACATATAATGGGATACTGGAGGGGAGGTTCAACCTCTACTGCCATGCCACCAACATCTGTCTCTGACATCATGTGCCAACATCATAAAACAGGAGGCACTATTTTTGGAGTAGCCCTCATATTACTTTTTTTAAGCAGCAGTGTACCACCCAGACTATGCTTCCCAAGGAGGTGTTTTATTATGGGCTGCTAGATACTAATCTGTCATAAACACCATACTCTGATTAATAGCACCGCTAATAGTGAGGAGCAAAAGAAATGGTATTATTTTGTGAACATTCTAGTTAAGAGCACTGCCTCCTTCTCTACATACAAGCTATCCCAACTACCACAATTAAGTGACCTACGCTGATTAAATAGGGGAAGCTAATTCAGTTTTCAGACAGCAGACAATTCTCAGACACTGCTCCTATTGGTAGCACAGCAACCTGTGGTATGATTTTATGAAGATGGCCACACCTTTGCTTCTAACATAGCAGCATGTGTCAAAAAGACTTGAAAGAGCACTGGTCACCTATTTTGGGCAATCTGTGTTCTGCTGATCCTTTGTGTAGCCTATATGAATGATACTGCTTACAATTTATACTAAGTTAAGTAGTACCAAATTAAAAAACAAACAAACAATAACCGAAGGGGATACTGAAATGTAAGGAACATTTCCATCCGACACCACCTAGATACCTGCAGTGTCATTTGTGGTTTCACACAGAAAAACGAAAAGCTAAACAAATCAGCCTGCCCCAAAAGCATACACAACCTGTGTTACAGAAGAGAAAGTACTGCGGCTGTGACTTACTGCCAATTACCCATTTGAATTAAATGACCACTGTATGAAGGAAAAACAAAAAGAAAAAGATGGGCACAAGCAGGCTAAATTAATACTTAGAATAATAAATTAGATGAAGAACATGGAGAAAGTGAATGAAGAATTTGCAGCGTTTGAATAACTTTAGCAAGATATTCTGGAAATACTTTCGTGAGGTAAATAGGAAAAATGCAATTTAATCTACCCACTCCATAGAATTTTTTGACTACAAATGATTTATCAGCTTTCTGTAAATGTGGAAGATGACAAATTTTAAACGGTAATGTTTTTTCCATTTGATGTGGTTTCTTCTCTTTTATAGAGTAATAAACTTTTAGTTACAGGAGTATATTTTCATTAAGCACTTAAAATTAAGTAGAAAGGTAGATTTTTCACTTGCAGGGTTATTCTGTTCTGCAACAGAAAGAAGTATTTTGGTTTACTGCACTTAGTCTGGCAATTGAAGGGATGTTCTCTAAGGCAGAATTGAAAGAACAGAGAATTTTAACTACCATACTCTCGCTCTGAAAGATCACTCTCTCACTGCCCCAAACCCACACTGCAACTACCGTAGCAAATCTAAGAGCTTTTTAATTTTATAAGTTTAGTTATAGTATTTCCCTTCTCTCTTATTTGCTTAATTATCCACTGTTATGCATTCTATTTTGAGTTAAAATCTCAAATATGATCCTCAGTATTTCAGATTCACTAGGATTCAATTGGAGCCTTAAAAAAACACTGTTGAAGGCAAAGATGGAAAAAAAGAAACACACAGAAAAATAGAAGTTGATTTTACATACCTAACTGCTGTAAGACAGTTGCTTTTACTTGTGCAGGAAGGTTTTCGATCTGCAAAAGTTGTTCATAAGCTTCCTTTGCAGAGTGATACTTTCTCTGCAAAAGGAAAAAAGTAAATTGATTAATCATAAACCTCACAATAGATCACCAATAGCAATGATTTCACAGCACTGACAGCACACAAACACATTGACAAAAAAATCTAGAACTTTTTTTTTTGCATACAGTGCATATGAAAGCTTTCATAAGTGATATATATATATGGTAAGAGAATAACTTTCATAAAATATAGTATTTAATATAAATTGAATACTTAAAATAGTCAAGGAAAATTTGTATATTATTCAATTTGGTCAGCTCCTCACGCATGCATTATACTTCTTATACTAAAATGAACATGTTTCTTTTAAGAGGAATGCTTGACTGTGAGTTGACATTTGAAAAAAACCTACTCAAATGACTCCCAGGAAATTTGCAACAGAAAAGAAGATAATCAGAAACTGGTGGCTGGTATCCTTTAGCCTCTCTCCCTTTTTTGTTATATTAGAATGGCTTATTTACTCTACTGGTAAGAGTACCACCATATGTAGAATTAAAACAAATCCGCAGATTATGCCTCAAGAATCAAGATACGCTATCTTATTGTTTGCCATATAGTTTAAATGTGCTTAGAGCATGGAAACATTCAATTCTTAACTCCCATATAGACCTTGAAACAGAAAACACATTTCCAAGTTAGAATTGTGGTCTTTTCTGACTTTTGGAACAGTAAGAGCTTTTGTTTTGTGCACATCAAACATTAAGCAGTCTTGACTTTTTTGTTTTTTATTTTTGGTAATTGTGTCGTCATTTGTTTCTCCTTATGTTACCCTAGCAATAATTGTTTAACTGTGAACTTATTTTAAATGCTCAATTCCTCTACTTCTCTCCCACGTAACTATATGAAGTATAAAGGCTGAGGGCTGCTGTTTTTTGCTGTTCTTTTTTTTTTTTTTTATTGGGTTGCTGGCGGATTTTTTTTTTGTCATTTTCTAAAAATTCTACACATTTTCAGAGAAAAAAATATGCTTTCAGGTAACTCAACATTAGACCTCATTCTGACAGACAGGTGAAGAACCTACTAAAATAAAAAGGGCCACCTAAATGCAAATTGTCATGACTTAGTTATATTTCTTATATGCAAAGAGAACACAGTACTGTCTAGGGGTGTTTTGAAAGGGACAGTCAAGGAGGAGATTGTAAACAACCCAAGTGTTTATTAGAAGTTAAATGCTATTAGGTTCTTGAGATCCCACAATCACAAAAGACAACTTTGTTGATTTTAAAACCTTAATCTAGTCAGGAAGAAAATTAAAGCGGCAATTACATACTTTCAAATGGAACAAAGGGAAGTTGGTAGAAAAGGTTTTTAATTGGTGTTCATGAAATGTAGACAACTGGCAAGAAAACAAACAATACAAATAAATAAAATATCCATGGCTAGCAAAATTAAAACAATCAGGAAAGAACTTTAAATTTAGCATTGGGAACAGAATTTGTAGTTAATGACTATGAAAAATAGGCAAATGAACAGAAGTTCCCCTCTTGCAGTGTGACAGCAGGGGCAGCAATCTGGATGTTAAATAGATAAATACTAGTGACTAATATCTCCACTTTGAAAAAGATGTTTGCATGCTTGGAATGATTCAGAAAGATCTATTAGAATACGGTATGTTTTCTAGACCTAGAATAATATTCGCTTTTGTTATTTATTGTATTATTTACCCTTTAGAAATCTGCCTACATATTTGTCTTAAAGTACTACAGAAAACTGTCATAATGTTTACATTTGTTTTTATTTAGGTATTCAATTCAACTACATGCCCTTGAGTTTGGCTGTATTAGAAACAATCTTAAGAAACGTGGGTTGGAAAAAAAACATCATCTTTCTTTAGGAACTTCAGCTGATAACCTAACTACTGTGGAAGTACTCACATGGCCACAGATCAAGTAGTAGAAACAAGCATTAAAACCAAGAAAAAACACCACTACCTCTTATCAACCCTAGACTACTGTCTTGTTCAGAATGAATGAACTTTCTGACACATTATTAAAGACGAGCTCATTTTCGTATGTATGAGGGGGTTCACGAAACTGTAGCTCTGTGTCTGTCAGAAGAAACAGAAGCCCAGCCCCTCTTCTAAAAGTGTCTCTTTGCTGTATCAAAGGTAATACTCAAATCAAATCAAGACCCCTTGTGGTTCAAAGTTTCTCAAATTCCAAAAAAGAAGATACCCATTAAAGAGAACTGTGAGGCAAATGGAGTCTAAAAGCAGTATGTGCTTTTTGTTTCTGGCTTGTATTAAAAGTTCCTGTTGCCTGCAACTGCCAGTTAGAAAGCATTTGCGATATAGGCCACAGTATTATAGAAGGCACTTGGCATGGTGATCTGAGATTTTCAACTTTCTGCTTTCTTTTAGCAGATCAAAAGGACCAACATGTATAGCATGTTTTGTTTACATGAACTTGTCAAATGTGATCCAGTGCTCAAAAGGAAACCAAAAACCTCTCTGACGTGTCAGAGTCACAAAAATCCAGGAAGTTTCTTAATGGTGTTTTGGGATAGGGGATTTCTATTTGTCCTACAGTTACATAAATTCAAAAGTTCTACTGCACCAAAAGCAGTCAAAAGAAAATATCTCATTCAACACGTTTTTAACTTCTATTTATAAATAATTGCCTACATAATGTCATTTTTCACTGTGCCATCAAAAGACAGCACTTACTTATCAAGTTACTTTTCAAATGACTGAAAATGTAGAATTCGTCTGTCATCTGTTTCATTTACAACAGTTTTTGTTTTCCTGTCACATCTCTTCTTCAGTCATATTATACCTATAACCATGACAAGAGAGTATACAATCTACAATCATATGACCAGTCAAGTTACAAATATACAATAGCTGTTTCCATAGCTGCTTGGTTTTAATTTATTTATACCCTGGAAGCTCAGTGAGCGTTCTATAATTTCCCAAAAGATTCATCTAAAAAACTGCAGTAGGATTTGACACAGAATAATAACACAGCATTATGTCCCATTGTCCTCAGATCTCACAAGCTTCTGTCACATATGTCTAGTTAAATTTGAAAATTTCATGTTAAATATAATGTAAAAGCACCCAGGCATCTTTTTGAGTGTGAATGTGAGGAACAACATGGATACGTATGAATTGAGAGACTCTATTTTTTTTATATTTATATATAATATATACATGCACCTGGACAACTTTGTGTGCATGAATGTGAGAAACAATATGAATATGTATGAATTGAGAAACTATGCATTTTTTACATTTATATGTATGTATTAAAAAATCCATTTGTTAGCCAAAGTTATGTTGCAGTTTATTGCATACTAACTGGGAGACTAGTGAACCTACGTTTACTAAAATAGCCACCCCATTTCAGCAGGACAATCCTCGTGCATAATATTAGGACTTGAGCCTAACTTCAATTCACAAAAGCATCCATACTCAGCTGAATGCCACAGACTGATCATATCATCAGTTAGAAACTTCATCACACTTTATAAAAAGGAGCCTAAAGCTTACCTGGATTTCGTATAAGTGGGCGATGTGAAACTGAACTGTAAGAGTGAAAAATCAAAATTATTAGATGTAATGAATGACATCAAGAATACATTTTCCTCAAGTCAGAGATAAACGCTTTTGAAATTTATCAGTGCTAAGCAGAGAACTAACTACATTCTAACAACACAAAAAAGTATGTTTGTATTGATATTTTGCATTTAATATAATAGAATTGCCAGAAAATGTGTTTTCTAGAAAAGCATCAAGACTGAAAACAAAACGCAGAAAGGCAGACCATGGATTTTATGTGCATGCTGAAATGCAAAGTTCATTAACATTTCAGGATAGTTAGTAATACAATCCCTAAGCAGAGATGCACAATGACAAGTAATAGTTTCTGTACATAAGGAAATTAGAAATAAATAAGATAACATCTCTGTTTAAACCAAGCTCAACTGATTTCAATCACACAGAACTATCTTTCTCAATGCTATGGCACAACAGGTTTTAGGTAATTCAGATGTCCAGGGTTTCTCTCCGAGTCATGAAGGAAGGGAAAAGATCCGCTTGTGTATTGCTTTGTCCTTCACTATAAAAGAAGTATAAAAGAAGGTACCCTACTGCATGTCAGAAAACAGATCATAATGAAATGCATCATCTAAAATTTTAATAAACTTTTTGTGTTCCTTTCTAAAGGGCACATAACACATCCATTATGTTCACCATATCATCTAACTTCCTTCTGCACTGATGAAAGAGAACCCCTTCTTTTGTCTCAGGGAGCTCTCTAAAAAAATCTTTTTTTTTTTTCCTCCCTCATAGCAAACCTCTTTCATAGTGAAGCTACAAAAGAAAGCCATGTCATAGAGGAGAAAGAAATTAGAGGTGTTGCATTAGCATGTCCCTAAATAAAAGGAAGATGTCCGTAGGACTCAATCACTTCTGCCAGGAAGACTGTCATTGTAATGCTGTTACTCACATGGCCTACTTTAGGATTAGAATAGGCTGGATTAAGGCTATCTCATGCATTTCTGCCAAAGTATCTGACATCTCAGGTGAGGACGCACAGCTGTCCCTCCACTAAGCAGCACTGGAGAACCTGACAAAGTATCTTTCATTCCTCTTCACTCTTTCCTCCTTTGTTTGCTGTACACTGAATGCAACATCACAAGGGCAAAGTAGTCCTTACAGGGAGCTGCACCTCTACATGAATCTCAGAGCACAGGTGAAGGCAGGGGAAGTGTGAGGAGAGCCTTACAAAAATTCAGAGCTGAAAACTGATAAAGTCAGTGAGAAATAATAGGAAAGAGCATGAAATACAATAAGCAATGATATGGCTGGTAGAAAACAATCAAAATCTACTGACCTAGTAAGAATTCTGCAAATAATTTTAGAAAATTACTCTGCCTGCTCCTGATAAGTGACATAGCCTTGCAAAGGACTCTGTAGCACAGCTGGCTCCTTAATACTGAAGCAACCAGCAGTTTCACCCATGTAAACAAAACTTCTTTATCTACCCTTGCTGACAGAATATTCAAATTCAATCCAGCTTAGAATTAAACAGAAAAATGCTTCTAAATACTTTATCTAATGCTTCTGAAGCCAGTCTAAAGAGGCAACTTAGGCTCAACACCAAGTACACCATGAAGGTTCAACAAGAAACAACATTCTGCACTACTATCTGCCTTGTGATTCTGATAGATTCCATGTAATGCAGAAAAATACATTTATTCTTGCATACGATTTCACTCATTACAAACAAATATATGTAGCACAATCTGTAACAACCTACAGAATATAATGTGCATGACAGATCAAATCATGCTAAAAGATGAAAGTGCTAAAGTACTGGCTAATATATAATGGCACCTAATAAATCAATTTTTTTCTACTTTTTTTTTCTTTTTAGATTTCATCAGTGTAAAGCCAATACTGAACTTTAGAATGATGCTGAGGTGATTGCTGAAAAAAAGACATATTTGCAAATTTGTGGTACCTGGATACAGCGGCACCTGGATACAATGACTATTAAATGTGTGCCATGACACAGGCACTATATTTACAAACAAATAAGCAAAAATTCAAATACCAAGTTGCCTCTAGAACTCAAGTCTTCAGAGCAGTTAATACAGTAAGTCTCTGTTTTCACTTATTTAATTTATTAAAGCAATCCACAATTCCACTGGAATATCTGTCTCCATTTAAAACAACAGGTTTTGTAGTCTCCCTCTCAATATTTTCTCTATCTTTCTGTTTTGACTCTTTTCACTGAAAACAGTTACAGCTGTAAGAAAAAAAAACCTGAATCAAAACAAATGGAAATACTTAAAAAGTTACTTACTTTCAGCGTTAGACAAAGTGCAGGGGTTGCAGTCAATCAAAGCTAACTGAAAATGCTGAAAAAACAAGGATGAATTGATTTTCAAACAATGCAAGACTCCTTCCTTGGCAAATTACTAAGAAAAAATCCATTTCCTACTTAAGAATAAATACTATATTTTACCATTTGTCTTAAAGACAGTAATCTTCAATTTCTGTTCAAGAGTGTTTGCTAGAGGAAAGTAAAAATTTTTTGTAAACATATAGCAATGCTTCTAGTAATGCACGTTTGCAAGAGGCATCTCCACAAAATGATTAAACAGACAGCAACTGGACGAATGACTGTATCAATGGTCAAAATTGGAAGAACAAGTTTTCTTAAGAAGGCCGTTACACTATTAGCTCATAGTCTCGTGCAGACCAGCATACGAAGTGAAAATTTGTCTATATAGAAAAACAGAATACTTTTCCTGTAAACAAGTAAGGAAGTGATTTAAAGGTTTGTTGCTTTTGCTGTATTTTTGTGTCTTCCTTTTTAAGAATTAATCTTATCAAAAAACACTTACAATGAGTATCTTTACGTTTAAAAATTGAGTTCACAAGTCCATTAGTTCTTGCACTATCTCCCCTCCAGGTGTTAAGACAATAGCAATTAAACACTGTTTCTTCAAGATATGAAAAATATGTTTTAAAACATCTTCCTGATCTAAAATTCTCAGATAAGCATTTTAGTCTTCCATAAAGAAGAATACAAGCAGTGCAGTAAAATTTATCTACAAGAAGGCCTGGATGTGACCAACCCTTTACCAAGTGTCATGTCGACTCAGTGACCACTATTTACAGCTACAACCCAGTGTGTTAAAATGGATACGCTAGGCATACCAACTCAAGTGCCAATGCACTTTTCCAAAAATTCACAGAAAATTCCTACATGCAGCACAGAATTTGGATGAATAAACTCATTCACTGCAAATTAAGGCCTAGAAGACAGAAACCTAGGAGACAACACATAAAATACAACAGATACAGCTATCTGTAAAATACAATACTGGATGGCTTCTAATGCACAAATTGTTACTGACATTTCAGTGTATTTTATCCAGCTAGCATGGAATTGACCGTTTAGCTCCCAGTGTGCAGGATACCCAACAAGGAGGCATCAGGAGCTTGTCAGTAGCTGGGAAGAAAGAAAAATGCATTCCTAATGGATGCATATGCAACTTGTTTTTCATACTGTCATACTCAAAGCATTTAGACACTATGCAACTTTCCTTATGCTCACAATACTACCATGTACGTTATGCCTATGTAATACACATCTCAAGGACTTACAAGAGTTTACCAGACCACCAAATTTCTAAATAGATATTTTTAACAGAAAAAATACATGTATTGGATAAATATATTGTCCACAGCACAGTATAAAAAAGAAGTTCCCCATTAGCTGAGGCATATAGTGGCATAATCTCCTCACCGACTTACATCAATACCATTTGTAATATATAGCAGCTTTTAGAAAATTAAACAAACTCAAGTTGAATAACCGAAATTTACAAATTTTCATGAAAATTCTAGCAACATAATTTGCAAGAGTACAGAAAACAATAATATACATTACTTGCAAAATAACTTTTTAACCTTAGCATAAATTTAATAGCTTAGAAATGTTAAATACTAGCTTATTTCTCTGTCTTGCTTGCTTTTTTTTTGGTTTTTTTTTCCTAGTGTTGAGCAGTAGGAGAGAACTTAAAACCTCCCATCACTTACATTGCAATGCTGCTTGTGTGCCTCAGGGACATCCTTTAGTCTGTTACCATAGTGATTCTACTAAGCAAGCAACTCAAAAAAAAAAAAAAAAAAAAAAAAAAAAAAAAAAAAAAAAAAAAAAAAGAAGACTAAATAAAAATAAAATGCTCTACATTATATTGCAGCTTTCCTAACCAGAAAAATAACCTAACAACATAGATCTATATACTTTGGCCTGTACACTGAGTACGCCGATCTAAATGATTCAAAACCCATTTTGCACAGATGTGTAAGCTTGTACTGTCATTAACAATTAATATGAAAAGATAAAGCAGAAAGGAACAGATTTGTTCTCACCTAGCGATGCTATTATAAAAAATCAGCAGATCCAAAAAGAATCGATTGACAATCGTTCTGCAGTGGCTTTGCAGTAGGGCTATTGCAGTGAGACTCACCGGCAGAAAGCAAGCAACCGTACACAGAAATCTAACCATTTTAATATTTAAATATCCCAGTAAAATCAGTGCTGCACAGCAAAAAGCAGGATTATTCTCAACAATGCCTCCTAAAAAATTAACTTCTTACTTCAACCACATTGTATTTCAAATTTCAAAATCCATATTATGAAAATTTTTCTCCATGTAGAAAATTTCTGCTAGCACTGTTTACTATGCCACAAAAAAAAAAAAAAAAAAAAAACCAAAACCAAGAAAATTGACAATCTGAAGCATGTAACTACAGAAGAATAAACCATCTGCCCTAAACAGCAAAGCAATACACAGAAACACAGAACCTCTCAAACCAAAAAGCTTTGAAATGCACATAAACAAGCAAACCTACACCTCTTGCTGGATAAATAATCCATAAACCCCTGGTAAGTATCCAAAAACATTCAAAAAAAGCATGCACTCTAACACATAAAGCTCATCAGCAAAAAGCAGGTCCACTAATTCCAATTGCCAGCATCAAAAAAATTAAAAATAGTAATAATTTCCAACTTCCATCTCTGCAACAAACAGAAGCAGCTAGCAAACATCTGCACCTCTCTCAAATATTGCAGCACTGAAGCTGGCTACTGCTGTGTGAAATAGTTATTATGCAGGAGAGGCCGCTGCAGTTCAGAGACGACATACAATACCTCAAGGCAGACAGCAGTCTATAGAAATTCAAATGCAGAGTAAGAGGATTTACCTAGAAGGCAGTGTTCTGAATGTTAAAAAGTAACAGTCTCTCCTCAAGGGCTGCAGCCGAAGTCACAATATACCTTGATTTGGAGTCATCTGTAATTGCCCAATTATCTACAATCTATTCTGTCTCCTCTGGAGCCCTTGATGTGCCTGATTGTAGAAACAATTGCGAAGGTAACCTCTTCAAGGAGCAGAGGTACAGTGGATTGCATGTAAACTTAACTGATGAAAGGTCTAGTAGAAAACAACCTGGCAAGGATTTAAGTAACTTTATATGTTTTCACTGCTATAATTAAATATATTTCTCCTAGCACACTCATCCTTCACAATTTCAGAGGCAAGAGACACAAGTCCCCACACTTGTGTTGTTTCATCAATAAACAACCAATGCATTTTCCTCCTAGAGTATGATTTTTACTGCTTTTTTGTTTATATTGAGTCAGACTTCAGAGCAGCGATTCTAAACCCTCCAGCTCTCTAGAAGGGCATCAACAAGCTGAGCAACACTCAGCTCTGCATCTATTTAGTAAGCAAGGCAAGCCATCGTTTGAAACCTGACAGTTCTCACAGACTTACCACGAAGGAAAGCTCCATCATGACTCAGTATAACTCTGTCAAGAGATGCCTTTTTCTGCCTATGTGACCTAGGTGCGATTCCTAGGTCGCTCAGAGCAGCCTTTGTTCAGCTAAGTAGGACGCGGAAAGCCTTGCATAATCAGCTGTGGCAGCGTGCCAGGCCTCCATTTGCCAGGCCTGGCTGGAGCCTGGGGAGAAGGTCAGGAGAGGACGCGCTAATGCGCTGCTGCCTCGGCTCGCTGCTTGTCTGCACGGGGCTGGGGAGTTCAGGAGGACCTCGTCTTGGACGACGAAGGTTTATAGAGCACAAGCACACTGGGACTTCTGTCTAACATTCAGGCACTGACAAAAACTGTTACACAGACAGGGCAGAAAGGAACTGCTTGAGGACAGAAGGATGAAGGTGAGAGATATACAGAATCACAGAACTGTAGGGGTTGGAAGGGACTTCCAGAGATCATCGAGTCCAACCCCCCTGCCAAAGCAGGTTCCCTACAGCAACCACGTAACAGCGACACAAACAGCAACACACACAGAAGAAGTTCTTCAAACAGAACATTACTGAAGCTGTATTTTCACTAACAAAGAAGGCTGCATTGGAATTTACTGACCAATACCTTACACAGCACAGCACTTACTACATTTTTCATGCATGCTGGCCGTGTGTTTTATCATGTGCACACCACTCACATTCAGACATCCAGGCCTTAGAGCCCAGGGGTCGCCAGCATGGCTGGGGCTGCCTGGCATCTTGCTCTCACTGCTGTACTGCCAGCACCCTCAGCCTGCAGCTGCCTACAGGCCATCCAGGCACCCCAGCTGGCATGAAAGCACATGGCCATTTCTGCTCTCCAGCTATCCTTTTGGTTACAGATAATCCTGGAAACATGAACGACTGCACTCACAAAGAGAAGGTGTATAGACCATGCAAGTGTCCCAGTATCAATATCCATTAGTTTCAGTGCTTAATATCAAGTCAACTATTTCTTTTCTCATGGTTTGTATCATTCCCCCTGCCCCCAGTGACAGAAGATGTCTTACACCATAATAATCACATTTCAGCATTTCCTCCTTTTTTTAATCATAATATTTCTACAGTTCTGTTATAAAAGAACTGTAAAATTACTTAAAAATCCAAACAACACTAATAGAGAGAACAAAACAAAGCACGCTGTGGGCAATATGCTGTGATGCACCATCAAAGTAAGTTGCAATGGTTACTCTACTGCAGCTGGATTAGTGACACGCTGTGTTAAAAACTGCCTCTCCATCATACATATACACAAACTCCAAAGCCTTAGAGAGTAACATAATTCCTAGTTGCTGTTTTCATCCATTTAATGCAATAAAATAAAATCACAGAACCCCAGAATCATAGAATTAACACTCGGGATTGGAGGGACCTCACAGCTCACCCACCCCAACCCCTGCTGTGTGCAGGGCTGCCCCCCACCAGCTCAGGCTGCCCAGGGCCCCATCCAACCTGGCCTTGAGCCTCCAGGGATGGGGCACCACAGCTTCTCTGGGCAGCTGTGCCAGCGCCTCACCGCCCTCTGGGGAAAGAATTT